TTTTTTTTATTTAGAATTTTAATTCTTAATTTTTAAGTACTGACTATAATAGCCTCAACATAACCAATATGGAATATTTTAATAGACGAATACGTGTTATTTCATCCAAATATATTACCCATTAATTTTTTGATCGCCAAGACTATAGTAAACTATGGTAATTTTAAATATATATATATATGCCAATCAATCGGTTACAAAATATTCGGACCCTAATAAAAAAAACTTTATTCGAAATCACAGAATCCTTTCGTATTTTAATTTCAAATATTGTTCACCCTTGAAAAAATAAAAAAAACTTTTGACAAAAAAAAATAATATAATATGAAGGGCAAAACATAACGAGGCGTTTTTTATCGGACAGCTGAGATATCTAAAAAAATTGTCCATTAGTGCGGGGTAATGGTTTGAAAGTAAATATACTTTTTATGTTACCTCAGTGGTTTTCTGCCGTTTCATCAAGGGAACAAAGTTAAAACGCTTACCTATGCATTGTGTGTAGGTGTACAGGTTTTTTTAATATTAGGTCGTGAGAAACTTGTTTAATATTTCATTTTTGTTTCTTCATAATACAGAAAAGACAAAAAAAGAGTGTAAAAAATTTCATTAGACTAGGGGAAAAAGTTTTCTGTTTGGTGGTACTATAATTTACATATTAATTCCGCCACTCAATTTATTATTATATTTTTTTTTTCAGAAAGATAGGGACATAAAAATGTTACGGTTCCACGCGAGTAGGGACAACTACAATAATTGAAATGACCTAGATGTGTATATTTACAGCAAATACATGTACTTAAATTGTATGATACAAGAAAGTAATTGTAACACGAGACATAAAAGTAAGACACACTCATAAAAGAAAATATTTTTATCTTCATAGCTGATTTATTAACTAAAATGACGAATAACAGGATTCAAACATACGCTATGTAATAAAAATATATAACATAAATTATTTGTCAATTGTGCATGGATCAACTTGAAAATACAAAGAAATGATGAAAATCTCTGACCTTATGGTATACCATATGCACAGCTCTTTAAAAAAAATTCGAATTAAAAATCTATTGTTGATGAAATAAAAGTATTAAAACATTTTAACTCAAAGACTGTTAAAGTATTATGTATGAAAAAAAAAAAAAAAAACAACTGGTTATTACTAATAAATTGTCATAAATTCTTTAGTACTGAGTGAACATTACACCAAAAACTTTTCCAACGAATAAACTGTGACGCAGAAATTGATGGCCTCGGGGTGCTCATGGAATAAACGCAAGGGAGATATCAATTTAAATACTTTATTGCTTAATCATTCGAGGGAAAAGCCACATCACGCTCGACTGGTCAGAAGCTAGATCCGCCATCTTTCGCGTCTGCCCGATAAGTCCCGCTTCCTTCCACAGTCTCTCTCTATATATAGCTTCCTACCCGAGTCTTTCCTTTCGATAATTACGGATGCCCTTCCAGTGGGGGCAGGAAGAGCACACGGATGCACAGCTTATGCCATCGCACGTGAAACAATTTAACTTTTTTTTTTATATGTACGGATGAAAATAAGTTAAACCACGAGCACCAAAGTCACAAGCGTAAAGCTTTTCGTAGCCAATCGCGCGGCAGATCAAGAAATTAAAACTACAGCAGGGATAAAGGGTATCAGAGCTTACGTATACGTATATATTTTAAGTACGGCCAGTATGACCCAAAGTGGCTCCGAGGAACACGCGTTAAGCTCCTTTATATTATTTTCAACGTACTGCCATTATCCGTGTTTGAATAAGAGCGTGGGTTACTCTGTGTATAGTGTCTGATTTTTCATGACAGCCCTCCCACAGCCAAGTGACTTGAGCGCACGAATTTGATAATGAGTTTTTCAAGAGTAGATTTCCTTACTCGACGATGCGAGGGTTTGCGGCTAACCTTATTCATAACTTATATGTACCATTTATTTTAACAATTGAGTATTTGACGAGCATATGTTTTTTAACAAGCAGGTATGGATGATTTCGCGTAACAAGCAGGTATGGATGATTTCGCGACTATTCTCCTTCCTCATTCTGTACAAAAGTTTTTTTTCTTTGTCTTTGCAAGTGGATTTTTAATTCTCGGTATATTAAAATCTACAATGAACAATATTATTCATGATCAAAAGGGTAACTTTATTTGTGAGGAAAATTTATTGTGCGTTCATATTTCGTTGGAATATTTACAAGGCTGTGAAGAGAAAGATATTACGCGCAGGATTTCGAGCGAACAAAATAATTACAACGGAATCTGTTCTTTAACTTAAACGTAATAATATTAAACCGTGAAAATGAAGTATCCATTGAAGGAGTAATTTGAATTTCCAGTACCCAATGGATGAAAAAAAAAGTTTGTGAAAACTTATTTTTAAGGCAATAAATATTCAGTGAAACCCAGTTTAATTTTTTTTTCGATTTCCCTGTTACATTTAAAAAATTTTTTTAAGCTGCTAATCCAGGGAACGTTACCTCTCGACACGTGTAGAATACCGCTCACTTTACAAGAATTGAAGAAAAAAGAAAAAAAAAAAAAAGGATTTTAATCCTTAACGAGTGACAAACGAAAGCCTGATTTTTTCAGTTCTTTAGAACAACAATAGAATTTTTTTCTCCTTTTCCTCTTTAGACGTAAAAGATCAAGAATTATACGAGCTCATAAATGCCAAGACTCGTTATAAGCTTGCCTCTGACGAGCAACAGTATAGTTCGACAAAGGCATAAGAGGAGGGATCAAAAAAAGCAAAGGGAACAAAACAAAGACTTGTACTGCAAGGAGAAGCTTACGGTGGCGATAATTAAAAAAAAAAAACGAGGCTGGCCACTTTGGATGAAGTTTAATTACGCGACATCCTCGCGAACAGGGAGTCCAAGGTCAGGTAATCACTTTTATACACATTAAACGGCTACTGCGAGGGTGCACGTGTTGCTTTTAATCCATATACATCTATACCAAGGCTCTACTGTTACGAAATTGAAATTAAGTGGAAAGAATAAAATTTATGGTTAACTTAACAAGGAAGTATTATGTGTTTTATGCTATACTTGACAAACACTCGCGTTTCACGTGACTCGCGAGAAAAACGTCTGGATAGGATTGTACATTGTTACGTTTACTGTTAGGTATATACATGTATGGGAATTCAATCAAATTGTACCCCATGTCTTCGAGTTTCGATTATCACTCTTAATTGAAAAAGCAACCAGATCACAACCTGTTCCCGCGTAACTCGACAATTATAACACCAATACGAGCGCTCGGACGAGGAACGAGCTAATTAACTGAACTAATACATTTACAAATCTCGTCCTGCACTCCCTACGCCCCCGATATCGCCGCCCACGCTAACGGCGCCTAGTAAAAGTCATCCTTGTTGGGCGGAAATTGCAACTGCTCGCGTTGTCGTCTATATTAGACAAGGGCTGATGGAGGAGAGATGACCCTAAATTTGCCGATGAAAAGCTCATGCCCACGCGCTAATGCTGCCACGGCCATACTATCGAGTATACCCAGTTAATATGATGGCTAGTTTGCAAAACATTGCCCAGCTCATGGTGCACGTGTGTGTATAATTTTATCAATTTGGAATTGTTCAATGGAGTTGCAGGGGGCATTAATTACTTGTTTCATAGTGATTAGTTATAAAATCAGTTACGGTTACATCACGTTTGGGTAAAAAGTTCTAGTAGTGAAATTTAGGATTTAGCATATAATATTTTTTAACAAAGACTGAATAATTTGGGAATAATGTTTTATTCTGTATGGAAAGAGTTATGTTAATAAAATTAAAATTGGTGTAAGGTTTACTAGTTTTCTCTAAATAAATTGAAGAAAAAAAAAATGATAATAATAAACTATAACAAACAAAAGCATTTCTTATAGACGAAAAAATGTTAAATTGAATAATTGTCTTTGGAATGTTTTTCAATTTCGGCCAAGGAAAATAAGCATGCAACGAATCGATGGAAAAAGGATAATCAAGCTAAGGGATTTGCTTTGAGTACAAGAGTAGGCCATCTGCGATTCATTTACTAAGAGACACTCCTTTTTCTCCCTCTTTCTAGTACCTACTTCGACTTTGAATTTCCCCAGGGCAATCCGCTGAAGTACAGCAGCCGGTGTGTTTACGTAAAGTACACGCGTACTCTGTATTTGTACACAGTTAGGAGAAAAAACAAATTCAAGGTAATTCGAAAGTTTGAATCAGAAAATTTCCACTTGATTTTTTTTTCTCGGCTATGAAAAAAAAAATTTTATTTTTCAACATCGAGAAATACCTAAGTGAACTTTTTTTCATGAACCGTTTATGTACTCGGAAATACAAACTTACAAGTAGTTAGTTTTCCTGACGAGTGTTTTTTGTTCTCTACACTTACGATTTTAAAATGGAAATAGACCATTTAAACAGAATATCCGACTGTGTGTATGCAGTCATTTTTTTTTTTTTTTTTTTTTTTTTTTTTTTTTTTTTTTTTTTTTTTTAATTGTATTCAATACAGCAAACACAATATTTGTAATTGCTAAGAAGTTTTTAGTTAAGCTGGTTTAAAGATATTTTCAAAAATATTTTACATCTCAAAATACAGTTTTAACCAAATATTTGTAATAATACGTACGCCAAATGAGAATAGTACCTATTACGAAATAAATAGAAAATAAAAATTTCTAAAAAATAAACTTTATTTTAAACTAAGAACTATTTTTCCCTGTAGGTGTGTGCATGTACAATGTCTTATGCTAGAAAGTTTTTATACAATTTTTTAATACATTTTAGATTTGTATTTTCAGGTATAGGATAACATTTAATTTAGTATTCGATTGTAAAACGTGAAATAAAAAAAAATAAAAATAAATTTTAATTCATTGAAACTGTGAAATAGCTCAAAAACTCTTGTGATTATTTTATCAGAAGTGAAAAATCGGATTTTTTACAGTAACTATTTTACCTTTTTTTAATTTTTTTTACGAGCTTGAAAGGTCAACTTTTTCACTTCAATCGACTTGCAATTGGAATTTTTTATTTAGCTTGTGTTTCTTTTCTTTCAAACAATTTGTTTTCACTTGTTTACTAATAATATAAAAGTTCTAAAGATTTCAAAGGATACAATACTATATTTAAACTTTACTATAAAGAAGTTTCACAAAACAAATAATTAATCCGATTATTATGTATGACAATCTTATGTATTTGAATAAAGCACTGATTAAAAATATAGATTTTAATCCTTTATTTTTATATCTGCTTTGATATCTTTACCAATCCATTTTAACAAAAGAGGCATTATACATGCATACTTTAGTACTATTAATGAATTGTATAAACATTACTTTTTGAGCATGAATTTTAAATGGAAAAAAAAAAAAAAATGTTAAGCCAACTGGACCTAATCCGAAAATTTCCATGCAATCTAATCGGTTGAACCATTTTTTGTTGCAGGAGGCTAGAGACAAGTAGACCGAGCGAACCTGACACTGGTTTTATATTTAGTCAAAAGTAAGCTTACTTTACAACCATAAAGTTTTTTAAATTAAAAAAGTTAAATGTACACCCAATGAACAATTTTTTCTTAAAAATTTTAATGTGTTATCGTTAATTAAAATATTTTTCAATCCAATCATTTTCCTGACATATCAATAACTTTGAACTTTCGTAGCATGAAAATAGTTAATCTAAATTCTAATGAAAGAAGTTTACAAAAAAAAAAGATACCACCAGTAGCGAGGTCGATAAAGCCCACCAGCCAGGCTTTACTTTAGAAACTTGCTGTACCTATCTGCCGCTCATGTAGTCATTGATCTTCCAGCACCGCAATTTTTCTCAACACTAGTTCCCTCCCGTCGATCACCCCTTAAGCTTTCAAAATCGAATTTTACAAATCCCCGCAGGCAAAGCTCAACTCAGAGGACCGCTACCGCAAACACAAATAATGCTCCGGGGGTGTGGTGGGAGATTTTGCAATTTTCTCCTCGCGATGGGCTTTATTCGCCTTCGGCTCCTCTCCGTTACTTTGGCAAGCTATTAGCAAAACGTCCAAAACACATGAAAAACAGTACTTCAATTAAATTAGACTTTAAATTACAGTTCAACGATAACATGATTCGATTTTGAAAGAATTTGTTCACCAAAGTATAATTATTAAGCGACGCAGTTTTTAAAATAATGAACGATTCTTTTGTCGTTCAGGGCGTTTAAGAAATCTTCGCAAAATGGCAAGCTCACTCTGTACTTGGCGAGCCGAGACCTTATTGTCACTGCCGGAAAAATCGATAAGCTCCAGGGCGTTTTGCTCATTGATCCAGACATGCTCCAAGGCAAAAAGGTAAACTGACTTTGCTCTTAATGTGGTTGTAATCAAAAATTTTCATTTCCCCATCAAAGAGAGACAAAAGAAGTGTACTAATATGAAGTGACTTTTTTTTTAATATGCAAGGTTTATGGTCAAGTGATATTGACTTTCCGATACGGTCGAGAAGACGAGGAAGTGATGGGGTTGAAATTCTGCAACGAGGCCATTATGGCCCTCGCTCAACTCTATCCGCCTTACCATCCGACAGATCCTAATACTCCGTTTCAGGTCGGTATAAGTCTTTCATATTAAAATTCATCGAGAATCGTAATAACTGTGACTAAATTACATTTCAAACGCAAAGCAATAAATATTTTTACCACCAAGTAACTGGAAATCATGATTTTCCATGGCTTGTAAATTTTATGGGGCATCACATGTTTAGCGCAAACTATCAGTGAAAATTAATCCATAAATGAATGCTCTTTTATTTTTTTAAAATGTTTAGGATATTGATTTATAAATTATAAAGTACCCTGAAATTTACTATCCCTTGCACTGACTTTAAAATCGCGTTTATCCCCTTTTGTTTTTGTTCCCAAGCCTTTGCCAGATACTCTGTGTATTTTTTGATTTTTCTTCCATATGTAATCCTCTTAACTTCTTTTTTTGTCTTTGGTCCAGATATAAATATTTTCTCGTCAATCTTTTTTAAAATTCCCCAATTTCACTTCCTAAATACATTTGATCCATTTTTTTGCGATTTGGTAGCATTAAACCTTTAAAACTTTACATTTTACTCGCTTGAATTTTAAAGACTTTTTGTACCGTTTTCCTTCCTACAAATTTTAGTTTTAATATTCTTTTCTTTTTAAAGTATCTCATTTATTTGTACCACCAAATAATACATGTTTTTCCAAAGTTGCAAACAGTAATCATAGTAGGCACGTACGATACTGACTTGTCTTCTTCAGGTCTTGCCTCGAAAGTGTAGATCTCGGAAATTTCGTTAGAGTCTCGTCCCGGTCCCGAGGTCGCGTAAAACGAAATAACTAAAAGTTTGATTAGAATGGCTCCGTTGCTTGAAAAATCTGTCGCGGGGAATCATATTCATGGACACAAGAAGCCTCCCCCGAAACCCATTTGAAGATGCAAATGGAGTAATCATTTCAAGGGTGACACGCCTCGGCTGGAATAATAGACAATCAAGCCACGGGCGCGAAATAAAGCGTCTTACTTGACGCAAAATCGATACGAGGGGCCACGTAATTCATCATAACCCCTTATGCTCCACGAGGCTATAAATCACCGTGTCGTTATACCGATGAGCCCTGAGAAAAAAAAAAAAAATACAAAGTTCACCGTCTACGCTGATACACGGAAAGTTTACCCATCTTCCTCGACAATACTGTTCATAGCACGCGATTGTAAAGTAAAAAATGAGCACTACCAGAGTTTTTTTCACTCTGAATCGTTATTTTTGTACAACAACACCAGATATTGTTTCAACTGTCCCAGAAGCAATCGCTTCGTCTATGAACAAAATGAATACACATACGCATCAGCGGATAAGAAATTCCAGTTATTGTCCCTTCACATTGACCGCAGTCTAAATGCCAAACAACAAATAAAAAATCAATTGTTTCCTCCTGAAACAACAACGCCTTACCAAGTCATAGGTGCATACCCTATATCGCACAATACCAACCACTCCGTTTCAATCAACGTCACACGCGCGGAGGCAGTACATGATGTATATAATGTAGAAGATCTCGTATACACAGTTGTGACCAACTGTAACCCCAAGTGGAGAGTCGCAGCGCGGCAAATTTACCCCCTGCACGAGCGCACGCCACGTAAATTACTCTGTATGGAGAAAATCGTGCAAAAGCTCAATCAAAGTCGCACACGCGGCGATAGCAACAACAATATGCACACGCGGTGGACTGCCATTCGACGGACGCGTTCGTGTGCGCGATGTGGTGGGTATATACACGTATATACACTCACACGCCCCAACAGCCCTTTGAGACAAAGTATGCAATGTAGCGCGCATGACGTATACATATAAATCGATAGAAAGTATAAGGGCGTCGAGAGTACGCGGTGCAGCCGAGCGTCGAAATAGGGGGGAAAGAGCAAAGTTGGCCGAGGAGAAGGCTCACTGTATACACCGAGGAGGCTCTCTCGGGAGAGAGGGGGGGGAGGAGGACCTTGTTGTAGGTTGATACGCACCGGCACCTCACTTAGAGCCGCATACGGGAGCAGGAGGAGGCTGTGTTTCTCCATCTATCTTGATGATGATGATGATGTACCCTATACCGGGACGCAGCACTCCATTAGTTTGGCACGCGCGGCCTGCACCAGACACGAAGTGGTTACGTGGACAGGCACGCCTGTACCGTTTAGCTTTTCTCAAGAGTAACGTGAATACCGATATATATATATTATATACGTGCTCGGCTGTGCGTTGTGTATTTTGGCTGGTGCTACATTAGAGAGTACAGAGCCTTACAAAACACCAGTGAAATACGAAACGTCATGTCAAAAAGGACAAAATGGTCCATTATCCGTGTACAGAGCGGTAAAAGTGGATGAAAAGTAATTGTAAGCCACAGGATTAATCGTAAATTAGGCGAGTATAGGTAATTTCTCATCTGACTGCAGTCAACAGTGGAGAATATGATTTTACAAGCAATTATCAGGAGTTAATGTTCATGGGGATTGGACGTTGTTGTCTCAAGACGATTGGCCTCAGTTCGAGGTCATCCATCATGCGCTTTGCCCGACATCGAGTGCACAAGTTTGGGGCATTGCCAACCTCTATAGTCGGGGAACATATTGTATTTTCATTCATCCCGAGACTCTAATGATATTGCGCACCGATAACAAACAATGTATTGGACACGAAACAGCCGTCACACGGCAAAATTGCCCAAATGGTCGGCTATATAGTGTTAATTTGGCGCTTCTCCTACAATTATAATGAAAAACAAACGTACCCCGTCATTTATTTGCCGCTGCTTTTGTTTGCTCTGGCCATCGGACGTGATACACATCACATTTTGTTTTTCCCCTTCGATTCATTACATCCCGGTTTTGTTGTGTAACTTGTAACACTATATAGTACGAACAATAAATTGTAAATCATACGAGTTACGAAAGGATATATATATGTTTATCCATACGTATACGTATAAAGCTCCTAAATTTACATCCTCCCACACGTCCCATCAACCGGTATAGGTCAACGACACACGCGGGTTATTGTTTTTTTCTTCCCCTTTTCTCTTTCACAAGACGTCGACGGCAAATTTCACTCTCGGCTAACTCTCGTCAAAGCTCGATTCACTCCATACGACCACACTCGAGACTTGGCCCATACACTATACCCCCCTTTTTAACGGCGTACCAAGCAGGTGTGTGTATATATATATATATATATATAATACANCAGAAATAAACAATTATTATTGAAATTTCAGCGTAAAAATCATAAAAATCATAAAAACATGAAATATTTTTTGAAAAGAAAAGCAAAAGAATAAAGCTCATGGAAGCTTTTTGTAAATCGATTGGATGGAAAAAAATTACCGTAATAATGGCATAATGGTCTGTAATTGCTGTTATACCAGTTATGGTAATGTTAAAAATACGTTAATCAGAAGGAAAATTTACATTGTTTATAACTCAAAGCTCAATTCCAAGTCAACCGAATTTGGTCTATTTAGGCGTCGTCACCATTGTTTTCGACATAACTCTTTTTTCAGGGTAAAAAAAGGGGTATGGTGCCACAGCCCATATCGAAACCACAGAATTGACCCCAGCAGAATTTTCATACTCGTACAACTGTACGATAAACGGAAAAAAAAATTTCACCAAAAAATAGTCACCTCGAACGTTAAATTTTATGGAGATTTCGACATATGCGCACAACACACGCACCAAGCGTGTATACCTTCTACATCTCTATTCGTACCTGCAGTTATAGTACTTAGGTACCATATACACGCATCGTCGAACGTTACGCACGCTATCTTCGCCGGGAAGTACGATCTACGACATAGTATGCAGTTTGCTTGCCTACAGGTGTGTGTATATATATATATATATATATAATACACACGCGAAAACTTTCAAAGAGGCCACAACGTCAGTGCAGGTCCAACCCTGTGTATGTGGGTGTACCGATACCCTAAAATATGTGTATATAATATACCTGAGCGCGTCACCGAGGATATGTAGGATTAAACTCTTCGGACGCGGTAGCTCTCGATAGGCGAGAAAACATAAAATACAGTACACCTATATGCGCATGGAATACAAGCTCGGTCAGCCGTGCGCGCTGATTAATAACAGTTGTACACGTATATCATAGACGAATATAGTAATCGGTGTGGCTAATAAAGCGTAAGAGCAAAGATAGGTGGGCGTGGAGAAGGGGTGGGGGGGGGTTGTGGAAATTCTGTCGGGGATATAAATATACATAGTATAGCGTGTAGGTAGCGGTAGCCACTTTTGGCGTTCGATAAAGTTTGGGACGAGTTGTGGGGCGGCCTTGAGCTGTATATTACGAACTTCGACTGGGACGGACTCGTAATTATTGATACGTGCAAATTCATACTACTCCGCCTGTCGTGAAGCGGGGTATTGCTGTACCCCTGTGTACCTTGTACGTATACGTGTTGGTTGGAGGCAAAATGAGTCGAAGCTTTTTTTTTTTTTTTTTTTGTAGCCATCATTATGTACCGAGTGCGGGTGTGCCGTTTGATTGGTTTTTGACGTGTCTGAAAATAGCGGCCCCACGTTTCAAGCCCCCTACAACGCAGTGGCAGAGGATAAATCTTAAAATGGACAGGGGGTGCGGTCTCGACGATAAGCCGAGTCGTACCGCGAGCGTTTTATTACACCATGAGTGGGGTGTTGCGCGACGAGAGAATTTTGGGTACAACGTGCGTTATTGCGACGAATTGAAACTCTGTTTTTTACTTGTAAGTTTTCATTAGCTGTATGTTATTTACCTCCGACTGCTACGAGTGCATTTTTAATCGTCCTACATAAAATATACCTGTTGATGTTGATGATGATGTTGCTTGCCATTTAAATTATACCCAAGAAAAAGATTTATGGGTAAAAGAAACAGCTAACTCTCACACAGCATCCGAGCAAACGGAAGCCAGCAGCTGTACACATCAGCCGAAAGGCTAAACACACGTGTACATGTTATACACGGGGCATAAAAACATGGACGAAAAAGAGGGGCTATGTCGTCTGACCGAGTCGCGCAT